TCTACCCTCATTACCCTGATTATTACCCATCTTATCCAAGTCTTCCTCTTTGATGCTGTCCCACCACCCTTACAAGCATGAAGTCCTCTAGGAACTGGTCACTTCTAGCCACATACCCAAAGTATATGAGTTGGAGCTTCAAAATCCTTGCCTCCAAGGAACAACCTGGTTGTAGAATAATGTAAATGAGAATATATTTGTTAATCATCTTTTAATTACATAGTGAGTTATATGTTAGGCTGCTAATGGAAAAGTCAGTGGTTTGAATCTTCCAACCACTCCACTGGAGAAGAGTGAAATAATTTTCTGTAGAGATTTACAGCCTTGGAAACCATAGGTAGTGGGTTTAGTTTTGAGTAGTTCTTTTCCCCCTACCTTTATTCTTAAACTTGGAATTTTAACATATGTTCTTAGTCAATTGGGTATGAATCTGAATGGATCAGAAACATGAGCCTTTATCTGTTGATGACTTAAAATATGTCTGAGGAAGAAGCCAAAAGTATTTAAAAAAATAAGAAAGCTTAAGATAAATGCAATCAGTAATTACTGTGAGTTGATTCTGACTCCTAGCAGCCTGATAGTATAGAGTAGAATTGCCACATATCCTTTCTGTAAATCTTTATTGAAGCAGACGTGCATATCTTTTTTCCTATGGAGTGATAGATTTGTTTGAACTACCTTCCTTTTGGTTAACAGCCAGTAGTAGCTCTTAACTGCTGCACCATCAGGGTTCATTAAATAACTTATGGGAAAAAATTACAATAAGTGATCAATTCAAGAACTGATTCTTGTAAGAGGGAAAAGCCCAACTGATAAATTATTACATAACCTTGACAAGAAATTGGTGAAATTATTAACTTGACCAGTCAAAAGAAGCCCAGGTTGAGAAATTTTTTTCACAGAAGCAGGAGTCTTTCAAGCTTCAAAGAACAGATAATTCCGGTACAGATCATTCTGGTAGTGTTCTAGAACACAAAGTAAATATAACAACTTTCTAATCCTTTGTTTTCTTTAACCACACAGATGACTTGTCTGGACTTGAGGTAACAGCAAAAACAGAAAACTACAGAACACTTTGATTTACATTTTCGAGTAAAATCCAGCATCATATTAAGCCACAATGTGTCATTACTTTATGAATTCATCTCAGGAATATGAAAGCAGTTCAGTATTATGTGTTAATACATTTATTTCATTCTAATAGAGATTTAAAATAAAAATTTGAAAAGCTTGTCCATTTTTATTAATTAAGTCCCAGAGCACTTAATTGTGCTCATGTGAAATCTGTACCTGTACCAGGAGGCTGTTGTGCAGACAGAGCAGGAGAACAATATATGGTTTAAAATTAAGAAGGGACACCACAACAAGATAAAGGTAAATAACTCAGTTGAAAAATGGGCACAGGATATGAACAGATAACTTCACCAGAGAAGACATTCAGATGGCCAACAAGCACATGGAGAAATGTTCAAAATCCCTAGCTCTTCAGAGAGAAGCAAATCAGAACAATTATGAGATATCATCTTACCCCAGTAATAATAGCAAAATTTAACAGAACAGTAAGCATCAAATGCTGGCGAGGTTGTGGAGAAACTGGAACCCTTATTCATTGTTGATGGGAATGTAAAATGGTGCAACCACTATGGAAGGCTATATGGCGCTTTCTCAGTAAGTTAGAAATAGAAATACCATTTGACCCAGTAATTCCACTACTGGGAACATACCCCAAAGAAACCATAACTGCCACTCAAGCAGATATATGCACACTCATGTTTATTGCAGCTTTGTTCACAATAGCAAAGAGTTGGAAACATCCGAAGTGCCCATCAACACATGAATGGATAGAGAAGCTGTGGTATGTTCACACAATGGAATACTATGCTGCATTGAAAAACAAGGAGCTCATTCAATATTGCTCAAAATGGGTGATTCTGGAGGACATTATTAGTGAAATATCTCAGTAACAAAAGGACAAATACTGCAAAGTGCCACTGTTGTAAAACGGGACTGACATGGGGTTGAGGGAAGACTGAGTTAGAGGGTATCAATAATGTATACTGCATTGAAACAGATGATGTTATTGTCATGACAGGAGTCCAGAATGAAGGCTGCATAGTGGAGTAGACTTGCGGGGATGGATTGTACAGCAATGAAAGAATTTTTCTTTTACTTTTCAAAGAGAAGAGCGAATTGAGCGGGGAGGGTGGGCAGGGAGAAAAGTGCAACAATGAATAAATGAATGGAAACCCTAAGTCTGTAAACTTTCTTTAAAATTAAGAAAATTTTTTTAAACAAAACAACTTTGTAGCCTAGTTAGGTAAAAGAGAAAAAAAAATTGAAGAAGGGAGTGTGTCAGGGTTGTATTCTCTCTCTTCATACCTATTCAGTCTGTATGCTGAGCAATTTATTTGAGAAGCTGGATTCTCAAGGATTGTAGCATCAGGATCAGAGGGAGAGGGAGACTCCTCAATAACCTGTGTTAAGCAGATGACGACAACCTTCCTTGCTGAACTACTTGTTGCAGAAGATCAAGGAATGCAGCCTTCAAGATGGACTGCGTCTCAGTGTCATGGATACAAAGATTCTTAGCACTGGACAGAAAGACATCATTTTGATGGATGGAGAGGAGATTGAAGCTGTCAGCCACTTCATCTTGCTTGGATCCACCAATTAACACCCTTGGTACTAGCAGTCAGGAAATAGGAGATACATTGCACTGAGAAATTCTGCAATTAGGGACCCTCCAAATTATTGAGGAATAATGAAGTCAAGTTTGTGGACTAAGGTGTGTCTCATGTGTCTGAGAGCTGGACAACGAATAAGAATGACAGAAGAATTGATTCCTTTGAGCTGTGTTGTTGGAGAAGATCACTGAACATCCCATGGATAGTCAGGAGAACAAACATATGTCTTGGAGAGGGTGCAGCTGGAGTGCTCTTTGTAGGCAAGAATGATGAGGCTTCACTTCACATACTTCAAGTATATTGCTAGGAGGGGTTATTCCTTGGAGGAGGCCATAATGCTTGGAAGGGTGGAGGGTCCTTGAAGGAGACAAAGACCCTCAGTCAGGTGGATTGACATGGTGACTGCTGAAGTGGGCTGTAATGGGTCGGGAAGTGTGAGGATGGCACAGTGTAGGGCAGGATTCAGATCTGTTCATAGGGTTGCTTTGAGTTCTTACAATAACAACATTCCTTTTGAAGAAGTTATTAATAAAACATGCATTTATGATAAAAGCTCTAGCCAGAACATACAGAAAATTCTCCAGTTAGATAATAAAAAAGATTACTGCTTTAAAACTTGGAAGAAGTTCATAAGATCGAAACTATAAAGTACTGTTTGCTTTTTTGAGTCTCACTTTCTTGTGCATACATTGTCACCTTTCAGAGGCTACCTTTTGAGTAATTTCAGAAGTTATTGAGTACAAAATTACATGAGTAGTCAGCTGTTTGATTTTAAAACTAAATATTAATGAAAATTGTAAAAATGTAGAGTAATGCTATTTTCTTATTTTATATTTTTTTTAGAATATTGTTTTTAAAAAATCCTACTGCCCTCATTGCTTAATGGTAAAGAGTTGCACTGCCAACCCAAAGGCATATGGTTCAAATCTACCATCTGCTTTGCTAGAGAAAGATAACCTCCTTTTATATGAGTTACTGTCTGAAAACCTGCTGTAAGGTCAGGTATGAGTCAGTCCTGACTCTCTGATACATACCAAAACAAAATTTATGTTAAAATGTAATGGATTTGTTTTTAAAATTTTTAATAAACACGGCATATATGTTACATTTTTATTTATCCCAGTATTTAGTTAGTATTTTATTGATAGAATAGACAGACCTTGCAGCCTCATGTTTCTTACTTCATACTTTTGTTTATTCTATTTTTTAGATAGTTCTATGTAATGTGTGTGTGTGTGTGTGTGTGTGTGTGTGTGTGTGTGTGTGTTTCCATAATGTAATAATGATAATTTAAAGGGGGAAGGAGGAAATGTAGTCTTTGTTTTTTAGCATTAACACATACATTGTTTCTGGTGACTTATTCCTTTCTATAGACCAGAGTTACTTTCTGGTGAAATTTTCTTTTACACTAAAGCACTTCCTTAGCATTCCTAATGGAGAAGAACTCAAAGGAAGCATTCTCTGTCCTCACTCAAAGAGTGGTGGTTTAACTATATGCAAACCTTAAGACTAAGAAAGGTAAACACACACACAGTACTTTGGCTGCACTGTTGTCAGGTACTGATGAAAGTACAACAGATTTGATATGTTGCGGAAATTCTGATTTCTGTAGACCATTGTCTTTAATCTGATCCAGTTACTCCAACTCTTCCTGCCCTGCACACTTGTTGGCTTGTTTACATCACCAATAGCTGTTTGAGCCATGTCTTGGAGTTGATGATATACTCCAATATAAAAAATCACACATTGATTCCCCCCCCCCGTAATCCTTAGTCATTGTCCCACTTTCAGACACAAAGCAATTGGAAATCCCATAGCTTAAATCAGGCACACTTTATGGCTTAAACTGACATCCTTGTTCTTTAACACTCTGGAGAGGTCCTTCACAAAAGATATTTCCAGTGCAACATATTATTTTATTTCTTGACTGTTGCTGCCATGGGTACTTGTAAATCTAAGTAAAATGATATCATTGACATCTTCACCCTTTTCTTTTTCTGTGGGAGAAAGGTAGACAATCTCCTCCCATGTGATTTACTGCCTCTGAAAATGTGCTGGATGCTCAGCTATAAGTCACTTCCAACTTGATGACATAACAAAATCAAGATGTTGCCTTTTGGCCCAGTGGTGAAGATTTTTTTAAATTTTTTTTTTTTTTAAATTTTTTAATGTCAAATGTAATCCATATTGAAGGCTCTAGTCTTTGATGTGTGATATAGGCTTGCTTTGTATGCTGTTGGCTTTTGCTAGGCAAAAAAATTAATGTTTCTACTTGTCTATTTTTTGTCTAAATTTAAACTTTTTTCTTCCTTCCAGCCTTGGACCTCTAGTGAGTAAAGTCAAAGAGTATCAAGTAGAAACAATTGTAGATACCCTCTGTACTAATATGCTTTCTGATAAAGAACAACTTCGGGATATTTCAAGTATTGGCCTTAAAACAGTAATTGGAGAACTTCCTCCAGCTTCCAGTGGTAAGCAAGAAGACAACCTATTTCCTTGAACATGGAGAGAATTTATCCTTTACCTTTTTTAATTCCTGATTAAGTTGGAGGAAGGGTTATCTGTTCTAAAAGATATTTATTTTATATGCATTTCTTTGAATAAGTATGGAAAATTGAAGTGTATTTTTGCTTCAATGTAAGTTTAATTTTCAGTATTAAATGAGTGTTAAATATCTCATGCTCTAAAAGAATTTTTTTGGTTAGAGATTTTCTATGTACCATGCCTATAGACTAGTAACACTGATTTATAAAATTAGTGAAAAATAATCCAGAAGTGTGAGTTTTTCTGATTAGCCGTTTTTACTGTTATTTTTGCTTTATATCAGAATTTGCTGACTAATTGTGAATAATTCCATTTATTAGTGGCCTTGATTAGAACTAAGACTTTAACTGCTAAACTTAGTAATTAAAACCATCTAAAACTATAATTAATAAATTTGCCATCAAATTAGCTTTTGGCCTCTAACACAATATCATAAGTAATATGCTAAGTTTTAGAACTGATCTTGACTACTGCTATTGACTAAAATTAGCAGAGTGAAAGTGAAGTGAAATTATCTTTCTGCTGAGAAGGGAAATTGTGATTGGTGATATTGTATTCTGTATATATTGTTTTCATTCATTCCTTTAACAGATCTTTATGCAAATTAATATGATACCTTGGTGATAAATAGGCTAAGTATTTCTCTGTGAACCTAAACATTCATGATTCAAATCCACCACCAACAACAAAAAAACACAAAATGGTCCACTGTGAGTTGATTTCAACTTAAGTGCAATGAAGAATGATACAAATATACCCTAACATGTTTTCTTCATGACACAGAAATAAATTTTTCCAAAACACTGAGCGATGACACTCAGGTGGAAAAATTCTTGAATGATCCAGGAAGCATCAAAAGAAGATGATGTCACTGTCCCCAAAAGAATCAGCACTGAAAAATTTCAGGAAGTAGCATATGATAGAGAGCCAGTCGTGATGGAGGAAGAAATTGAAGCTGTATTGAAGGCACTTGCAAAATATAAGACTTCAGGAATCAGTAGGATACCAGTTGACATGTTTCAGATAGCAGATGCAATCCTGGAGTTGCTCACTAGTTTGTAGTAGGCAGTTTGGAAGATGGTTACCTGGCCAGCTGAAAGATAGTTGTATTTTCTTCCATTCCCAAGAAAAACCAGTTGACATGTTTCAGATAACAGATGCAATCCTGGACTTGCTCACTAGTCTGTAGTAGGCAGTTTGGAAGATAGTTACCTGGCCAGCTGAAAGATAGTTGTATTTTCTCCCATTCCCAAGAAAGGTGATCCAACAGAATGTGGAAATTACCCGACAAGGTCATGAATAGCATACGAAAGCAAAAAATGCTGAAAATCATCCAAAAATGGCTAGAAAAGTACATTCACATAGAACTGCCAGAAATTAAGGCCAAGTTTATTTAGAAGAGGCCCTGGCACCGGGTAGATCATTGCAGATGTCAGATGGATCTTGGCTGAAATCAGAGATTACCAGAAGAATGTCTTATTTCTGTTTTATTGATTATGCAAAGTAGAGTGTGGATTAAAACAAACTGTGGTTAATATTAAGAAGAATGGGAATCCCAGAACACTTAATTATGCTTATATCAAACCTAGACCAAGAAGGCCTTGTCTGAACAGAGCAAAAGACTACTTCATGATTTAAATTTGGGAAAAATGTGAGTCAGAGCTGTATCCTTTCTCTGTACTTCAATCTGTATGTTGAGCAAAACATGTGACAAACTTTATTAGGAAAAACTCAGGATTGGAGGAAGACTCATCAATGGATCTGCGTTATGCAGATGAGCAGCTTTGCTTACTGAAAGCAGGGAACACTTGAAGTGCTTGCTGCAGAGAGTTAAGAACTGCAACTATGGATTATATTTCATCATCAAGAAAAAAATTTTCCCTTCTGGACCAATATCATGAGAGATAGAGAAAAGATTGAAATTGCCAACAGTTTGATCTTGCTTGGATCCACAGCCCTTCATACCGGTCCTTCATAGTAGCCAGGATATCTGGAGATGTATAGATGAAATTTGCAAAGTCTTTCAGGGCCCTCTTCAAATCCTGATGACTTGTGATGTCACTTTAAAGGCTAAGGTTTGTCTGAGTCAAGCCCTAGTCTTTCCAGTAAACTGCTATGCATCTGAGAGCTAGAAAGTGAATAAGGATGATAGAAGAATCAATGCCTTTGAGTTGTGGTGTGGACTGCCAAAAGAACAAACCCATGTGTCATGGAGAAAATACAACCAGAGTGCTCCTTGGAGGCAAGAATGACAAGGCTAAAGCTTATATACCTTGTTGTTGTTATATACCTTGGAGAAGAAGGACATCATGTTTGGAAAAGTGGAGGATCAGCAAAGCAGAAGACCTTCAACCAAATGCATTGCCACTGTGACTGCGTTAGTTGTCTCAAGTGTGTAGGGGATGGTAAGAATGGGAAAGGATTGGACAGGCTTCAAATCTGTTGTTCCTAGGATCTCTGTAGATCATGCTCAAGTTGAAGGCAGTTAACAGATTATAACCTTGTAAACACCCTATGGGGTGGTTCTGCTCTGTTCTATAGGATCTCTTGAATTAGAAATCTCAACAGCAGCAAGGTTTTAAAAAAATTTGTTTTATGTTTGATGTTTTAATGTTAGTTTTTATGTTTATGAGAGATCATATGTATTTGTTATTTATTTAGTCTAAATATCACCATATTTGATGTCTTAAGATCCCTGGTTCATAGGTGAAGGATCTGTAATTTGAGAAGTTATCTTAGTTCACCTTAATTTGGAGCACTTGATGGGTAAAGAGTCATATCTGTTGTCTTTACAAGTCCTTAAAACTGCTGCATTTTTTCCCTACTCTTATATCAGCATTGTTTACTTTTACTAAGTTAATATCTCTTGTTTTATTTACAAGTTGAATTTTTATTCTAACTGAATTGTTTTGACTATTCTTTTAAAAATTTTCTTCATTATTCTATACATCTATACATATATTTAAACAGTTTTCAGCATTCGAAACAGAAATTGACAGATAGGATGATACCATTATGCCGTGCAGCATTGTATATTGGCAACTAAAATAGTAACCATAACTGTAAGTCAGAACTTTGCTTACCTTGGAAGTTTATTGACTTCTTGTTTGTACAGGCTCTGCATTAGCTGCTAATGTATGTAAAAAGATTACTGGGCGTCTTACCAGTGCAATAGCAAAGCAAGAAGATGTCTCTGTTCAACTAGAAGCCTTGGATATTATGGCTGATATGTTGAGCAGGTAAGTATGTCTGTCACTTGCATTTATAATATATGTATTTATTAAAAGCCTTTTTGTAAATAAAGTTAAAAATTACTCATTTTTCAAATTGTGGCTATTTTATATAAATGTGTATTTGATGGTGAGAAGTTCATTATAGTTCTTTTGCATGGCAAGCATGTTTTCTGTAGTTACAAAAAATAATAAAAAAAATTAAATTTGTGGTTTTAGTATTTCAGCACAATATTTTTGAACAGTAATAAGAAGGATATAGTGGGAGTGGTAAATAATTCCGTTAAAACATTGCCAGGAAATTTTAGCAACTCTTTATTACCCATGTTTTGGAAAAATGAGGGGCTTAGTTGCATACATTTGTTGCTCTTTTGTTCCTCTGGAGGTCAGGCTTTGGAAGATAGACTTTTTAACTCATGGTAAAGAGTTCTATGGAAGACCTGTCAGTATCAATTTTCCCTGCTTCTCATGCTCATTATTTACATATCTGTTACTTGTGGCTGTTTCAGCTTGAAAATAGATATTATAATGTGGTACATTTGTATTAAAAGAAAGAGAATCTCTCATCCTAGCATACAGAGTTTATATTTTAGGACATAAGAATACAACTAGTTGCAAAGTAAATATTAAATAATGAGTAGGACATATACATGTGCTGCTCGGGATAGCATAAATAAGCATAGAATAAATAAGTCACTCTTGGTGGCCTAGTGGTAAGAAGTTGCACTGTCAGTCAGAAGGCATTCAATTTGAACCTATCAGCTGTTCCACAGGAGAAAGATGGGCAAGCTACTCCCATGCCCCTGAAACCCCACTGGAGGATCAGTTCCTCAAACTAGCAATCTTGGAGTTGGAAATCCTTGCCTTCTTATTTTCAAAAGTAGTAAAAAAATAACTCTGATAGATACCTGTCATGTTAGGGTGGGTTAAAAATATATATTTGATTTTATAATAAACCATGACAGTCCATCAAGATTCATACTGTGTGTTGTCTTAGCATATCATAGATGTTTAACTACTCTTTATACACTGAATTACCCGTCTGGTGGGGTAGGAAGAGTGGTTGGGCCAACAGAATCCTGAAATTTAGTATCTAGATGAGTAGCAGAAAGATCAGCGAGTGAATTGTCAAGATAGAGCAAGGTAATCTTCTTCCTCTCCAAATATATACAGTTAGTACAGAATATGCTGAGCTCTGGGAAGGGTAAAACTAACACAATTGTTTATCCTTTGTCTTATTTAGCGTATTATGTGTACTCAAGTGAATTGTATGAAAATATTATAAAATTGGAAATATTGGTCGACAGTTCAGGAGGTTGTTGGGATATATATTTGGTAGCATTTATAGTGAGAGCAAGAATTGAGTGTTTCTGGTATTATGAATTTTGTTTGATTTATCTAAATTTATATTTTGAGTACTTAAATTGAGATTAGAGGCCAGACATTTCAGTAGAGTTGAGGCATCTTGAATTCATTTGTGTTTTTTTGTTTTTTTTTTTTTATTTTAAGGCAAGGAGGACTTCTTGTTAATTTCCATCCTTCAATTCTGACCTGTCTACTCCCCCAGTTGACCAGCCCTAGACTTGCAGTGAGGAAAAGAACTATTATTGCTCTTGGCCACCTGGTTATGAGCTGTGGAAATATAGTTTTTGTAGATCTCATTGAACATCTGTTGTCAGAGCTTTCTAAAAATGATTCCATGTCAACAACAAGAACCTACATACAATGCATTGCTGCTATTAGTAGGCAAGCTGGTCATAGAATAGGTAAGAAATGTTTAAAATGCTTTTAAAATTTTCTTTCAATTTAAAGTGATATTACTGTATGTTTTAAGAGTTCAATATGCTTTTCTTAGGTGAATATCTTGAGAAGATAATTCCATTGGTGGTAAAATTTTGTAATGTAGATGATGATGAATTACGAGAATACTGCATTCAAGCCTTTGAATCATTTGTGAGACGGTAAGTTTTTAAGATCTTTATGGTAATATGGTTTGTAGGGACTTGCACTGCTAACCTCAAAGCAGGGCTTTCTCTGGTGATTCAAACCCACCACTGGCGTTCTAGGGGAGAGTTGAGCAGTCTCCTCGCATACCATTTAAAGCCTTGGAAATGGAAATTCAGTGGTGCATCAGCTATGAGTTGGTTCCCATTCAATGGCAATGAATGAATGAATGAGTGATACTTTGAATAACTGAGCCCTGGTAGCATGGTAGATTAAAGTGTTGAAACTGCTCACTGAATGATGAGCAGGTCAAACCCACCAGCTCCTCCATAGGAGAAAACTGTGGTAGCCTCCTTTCATTAAGATGTATAACCTGGGGAATATCATGAGTCGTAATTAACTTGACAGTAGTGGGTTTTAGTTTGGTCTTTATGCTTTATATGGAAGCTTAGGGGCCGTGGTGGGATGAACATTGATTGGCAATTAAAATCCATAAGCCACTGTAAGGAAGAAAGATGCAGTATGCGTACAGACTTGGAAACCTTATGAAACAGTTCTACTATGTCCTCCTGTATCGCGTTCACTAGATAATGATTTTGGGGTTTTGCTTTTTTTAATCCTTCAGAGGTTTATCCTTAAGAATAGAATAATTAAGATCTGAATGAGAAACAAGTTATTCTACTGCTATTTTGATCTTTACCTGTGTTATCATTAAATAACATAAGAACTTAAATACAATAAGTATCATATTTTAAAATATAGCCCTCAGATTTGTTTTAGAGTGCATCCTTCATATTACTATAACCTTAACTTGGAGAAAAATAAAATTCTTTTTTATTTGATTTAATTTAAGAGAAATACAATTGGTAGTCTTAGCCTAAAAGATGCATCAAGGTAAATTAATTTTCTGGACAGAAAAACACACTAATAATCTCTTTTTAAAAAAATTAAAGAATTTTGTTAAAGTGGTGATTCTTGGTGTTTAAATCTTAGTTCTCAAACTTTTAAAGCTTGATAAAGATTGTACATTTATATATTAGAAGATTTTTTTTGCCTTTGGCCAGAATTGACAGTGCAGTATTACACTGTTTTTTTTGAGGTTTTTTCTGTTAATTTGCGTAAACTTGGCTTAGTTTTGAGAACTGACTTTATAATCATGTCAGATTGTTAAAATTGGAATTCTTTATTTCATTTCCATCTTTTTAATCAAAACACAAATTATTTCTCTTTTTTGGCTATGTGGTCATTTGTCTTCTAACCATATAAGTAGAAGAATGTACACTGACATTTTCACAAATAGTCCTAGTTGCTGAAAAACATGGCTCATTTCGATGTCAGTCTGGAAACTAAGGTGTGCCTGATACATGCCATGGTCTTTGCAATCACTTACTATGCATCACAGAGCTGGACAATGACTAGGGATGATAGAAGGAGAATTGATGCCTATGAACTGCTAGGAGAACAAATGAATAGGTTTGTCTTGGAGAGGGTGAAGCCGAGCTGCTCCTTGGAGGCAAGGATTCTGAAGCTTCGTCTGACGTACTTTGGACATGTTGAAGGAAGTGACCAGACCTTGGAGAGGGATGTCGTGCTTGGGAGAGTGCAGGGACAGCACAGGAGAGGAGGACCCTTGATGAGATGGATTGATTTAGTGACTGGGGTAATGGCGGTTGGTGTTTTGGAGATAGTGAGATTGACACAGGATAGGACAGAGTTTAGGGCTGTTGTACATAGTGGTCGCTGTGAGACACAGGCGATTTGATGGCACATAACAACAACAACAACATGTAGTTAAAACATTGAGAAGATTGAACATATGTAGAGTTCTAGGTACTGCATGTTGTAAAATTTTCCTGTTCTCAGAGATGTTAACCTGTGAAAATAGTTCATCTTAAAATTAAGTACCTTAGTCATGGTCTTTTCAGTTGCTTGCTATGCATCTGAAAATTGGACAGTGAATGAAGATGACATAATGAGAAAAAAAATACCTTATGGATTTCTGTCAATATATAATTATATAGAGTGATAAATACATGTTTGCTTGTGTATATTTTCTTTAAATGTAATTAATTATTTATCTGAATACTTGTTAAGTTTTTATTGAAATAATTACATGAATATATTAGTGTAACCTCAGTAGAATAACAAATATATTGGTCTCTTTGAAAGATTAAAATAAAAAGTATATTTTGAAAGGTAAATCTTTTGAAAGATGATGTAGAAAGAGAAAGGGTTATTGGTGTTGAGGATAGTTAGAACTACTTTTTCATGTTAAAGGTTATAAAATCAGGTATTAAAGCAAAATATAGCATACAATGATTCAAAGGTAGCTTTTTATTTTTTTTTCTTAAGATGTCCTAAGGAAGTATATCCTCATGTTTCTACCATAATAAATATTTGTCTGAAATACCTTACTTATGACCCAAATTATAATTATGATGATGAAGATGAAGATGAAAATGCTATGGATGCTGATGGTGGTGATGATGATGATCAAGGTACTTCAAATTAAATACAAGAAATTTTAAACACTTTCATGAGTTGATAAAACGGAGAAAGATAAAAATTTTTTACTATAAATGTTACTGTTGGCTTATAGTAGTAAAAAATAGAAATTATCTCAGTGCTTTTCTGTAATAAATTAAGAAAATTAGAATTTATGTGATGAGCTATGTAACACTTAAAATCATGCTTTAAGAAACTTCTTAGGGATTTGGAAATTGCTCTTTTAAATTTATTGGAAAAGTGGGTAATATCAGTTACTCCTTATTTCTAATTTTACTTCCTTTTTAAATCTATATTAGAGAGTTACAGTGCTACTGGTTATCTTGCCACTAGCAGTTATGTTTTTATTTTTACTTACCATATTTTTCTCAAAGTTTTTGTGAGAAAGAAATCAAAGCTAACTAGTGGCTTAGTGGATAGGGAGCTGCACTACCAGCTCAAAGACAGGCAATTTTATACACTAGCTGCTCTGTAAGAGACAGTTGAACAGTCTCTTCCCATGTGATTTACAGCCCTTGAAAACCTACTGGAGGGTCAGTGATGAGTTGTTTTGGACACAACAGCACATAATGCCAACAACCTATAAAATAGACCTATTCGCAGTACTTTAGTTGATTTTGAGAGACTAATTTATTATACATAACATGTCACTTTCATGAATAAACTAAGTATTATTTCTGAAGCTCTTAAGATTGATGTCATAGTACTATGATTCATGGTGTTCTCCTCTGGACACAAAATACAGCTTCACAGGGTAGTGTTTGCACAGTTAAAGTGATTTCTGCTTACACTGGCTGTATTAGAACAGGTGTTTTAAGTAAGTAAATTATTAGGTATATGAAATACAGGAATTATTTTGTTGTTGAGAATATTCACACAATCTCATACATTTATATATGTATAATTCAGTGATACTAATTGTAGAATTTATTCTGATCCAACAGATTTAGCCTGATAGTGTTAGAAGGCAATAATTTTTAAATATTTCACATGCCAAAAAAAGTCACCTGCTTAGAATAAGAACCTTGGATAAGATCATGCTTGCTTGTCAAGTGATAAATTGTTCTTGTTATAATTAAGTATGAATATGTATTTTTGTTCCTAATACCCCATTTAACAAATTTACTGAAAGCTTTGCAGTCACAAATCTAATTAAGGATTGCTTTTTCTTTCTAGAAAATTAGCCCTACAGTTTATCTGTTTTATAGTGGTGTTTCCTCAGGACTAGCAGCTATTTACATTAAAACTTCTATTTAGTGAGTGATGAATACAGTGATCATAATGTGAGTTGGAAAGGGATTGATAACCATTCTTTTTATGTAAGTTAACAAACCATCCATCTGTTTTAAGTTCTGGTTACTTTTGACACTTGTTCTGTATGCTAGTGCAAATTTAGGGAAAAACCCTGTCATAATTGTGACTCAGTACACTCTTGTATTAATAGCCTATTTACATTAAAACTTTTCTTTAGGGAGTGATGATGAATACAGTGATGATGATGACATGAGTTGGAAAGTGAGACGAGCAGCTGCTAAGTGCTTAGATGCCGTAGTTAGCACTAGACATGAAATGCTTCCAGAATTCTACAAGACTGTTTCTCCTGCACTCATATCAAGATTTAAAGAGCGTGAAGAGAATGTAAAAGCAGATGTGTTCCATGCATACCTTTCCCTTCTGAAGCAAACTCGTCCTGTGCAAAGCTGGCTTTGTGACCCTGATGCAATGGAACAGGGAGAAACACCTTTAACAATGCTTCAGAGTCAGGTTGGTTTGCAATTACAATTCGAAAATCATGATAAAGTGATTGCTTTTTAAAATTTTAAGTGTAAATTCTAGATTGTTTTTGGAGAATAGTATGTTAATTATTATTGGGGATAATATTGCTATTAGAAATTTAATTTGATAAGGGAATTGGAGCCATCTGTAATATTTTTATGGATTGTGTGCATACAAAAATTTTTGTGATACAAAATACTAATTTTTGCTTGACGTATTTTTATCTGATAAACTGCTAAAATAATCTGATATTTAGAAATCTATGATATTAGTAGAGATGTCTTAGAGCTGTGGAATCAGACTACACTTCCTCAGTGATGTTTTCATTATTTTAACATTTTGCATTTAGGACAATAGTTTAAAAAAAATCCAGCTATTTTGCTCATTTAAGCAGTTAATGAACACTAAGATGAGAGGCAAGGATGAATGTCATATTGACTAGACCATCATTCGCAGTGGTTCTCAGAGGCAATTTATTGCATGAGAGGAGATTGGCCATCCTTCTCCTGTGGGTAGCCAGTGTCCTTGAACTGTGAGCCTTCAGGTTTGGATTACAATACAGCTTTTTCTCTCTAGGCCACCATGGAGTAGCTTCCATGCGATGTACACTCTCTGAAATCCACTTGAGGGTTTGCTGTCAGCCAGTTCTGACTCATATAACACAAAACAGTAACAAAATCATTCCAGAATGAGCTCTGGTGGCCTAGGGGTAAGGAGCTGCACTGCCAACTCAGAGGCAAATGGTTTAAATCCACCAGCTTGTCCTTGAGACAAAGATGGACAATCTCCTCTCAGGTGATTTACAGTTCTGAAGCCCATTGGAGAGACAACGATAAGTCAGTTTTCACCCCAGGGCAATAAATGTCATAATTCCACAATTTGTTGTCTTTTTTTTCTCCACACCACTTTGGTACTTAGATACATATTTTTTTTTTCAAAATGTCATTTATAAATTACGTATCTCAAATTTTGTTGGAGAACTGTGGGGTTTTTTTAAAAAATTTCTGTTTGGTCTCATGCATTTCTTTTATCAAGAAAGCCTGTATACAACCAAATGATAGATATAGGAATGTGGATGAGCAAACTTTGGTCCAAGTGATGTATGTCTTATAAACAGTAGTCGTAAACAACTAAATTAGGAAGTTAATAAAAAGCTATATTTCCCCCTTTTTATAAATCTTTCTAAATTATGCTAAGTGTATTGTGGGAAATATTGTTAAACTAACGGGTATGTAATAATTTCAGGTTCCCAACATTGTTAAAGCTCTGCACAAACAGATGAAAGAAAAAAGTGTGAAGACTCGGCAGTGTTGTTTTAACATGCTAACTGAATTGGTAAATGTATTGCCTGGGGCCCTAACACAGCACATTCCTGTCCTTGTACCAGGTATGAGAGTTATAGTAAACCCTTTTAGAGACTTATAGGTTAGCTAAAATTAGATAAGTGGATATATTTATTTCAAAAGGAAAATTGTGACAATTTAAATTGTACTTAGAACTAACTTTATAATTGAAGCATATTGATCATGTGAAATTAGAAACTTGCAGCTAAAAAAATCTTTGGTGCTAATGGATTGTGGATTTCTGTTAGTTTTAGTATATTGCATTGAGATTGAAACTAGCAGTAATTTAGGGTTTAATTGATAATCTTTTTTCTAAAAATATGCTCAGAAATGAGTGTGATTTTTCTTTTGTTGTTGGCTTTTTAGGAATCATTTTCTCACTGAATGACAAATCGAGCTCATCGAATTTGAAGATTGATGCTTTGTCATGCCTATATGTAATTCTCTGTAACCACTCTCCTCAAGTATTCCATCCTCATGTTCAGGCTTTGGTCCCGCCAGTGGTGGCTTGTGTTGGAGATCCATTTTACAAGATTACATCTGAAGCACTTCTTGTTACACAACAGCTTGTCAAAGTAATCCGTCCTTTAGATCAACCTTCCTCATTTGAGGCAACTCCTTATATCAAAGATTTATTTACTTGTACCATTAAGCGGTTAAAAGCAGCTGACATTGATCAGGAAGTCAAAGAAAGGGCTATTTCCTGTATGGGACAGATTATTTGCAATCTTGGAGACAATTTGGGTTCTGACTTGCCTAATACACTTCAGATTTTCTTGGAGAGGCTAAAGAATGAAATTACCCGATTAACTACAGTGAAAGCATTGACTTTAATTGCTGGATCACCTTTGAAGATAGATTTGAGGCCTGTCCTGAGCGAAGGGGTTCCTATCCTGGCTTCCTTTCTCAGAAAAAACCAGAGAGCTTTGAAACTGGGTACCCTTTCTGCCCTAGATATTCTCATTAAAAACTATAGTGACAGCTTGACAGCTGCCATGATTGATGCAGTTCTCGATGAGCTCCCACCGCTTATCAGTGAAAGTGATATGCATGTTTCTCAGATGGCTATCAGCTTTCTTACCACGCTGGCAAAGGTATACCCTTCTTCCCTTTCAAAGATCAGTGGATCCATTCTCAATGAACTTATTGGACTTGTGAGATCACCTTTGTTACAGGGAGGAGCCCTTAGCGCCATGCTAGACTTTTTCCAAGCTTTGGTTGTCACTGGAACAAATAATCTTGGATATATGGATTTGCTGCGCATGCTCACAGGTCCAGTTTACTCTCAGAGTACAGCACTTACTCACAAGCAGTCTTACTATTCCATTGCCAAATGTGTTGCTGCTCTTACTCGAGCATGTCCTAAAGAGGGACCAGCTGTAGTAGGTCAGTTTATTCAAGATGTCAAGAATTCAAGGTCTACAGATTCCATTCGTCTCTTAGCTCTGCTTTCTCTTGGAGAAGTTGGCCATCATATTGACTTGAGTGGGCAGTTGGAATTGAAATCTGTAATATTAGAAGCCTTCTCATCTCCTAGTGAAGAAGTCAAATCAGCTGCATCCTATGCATTAGGCAGCATTAGTGTGGGCAACCTTCCTGAATATCTCCCATTTGTTTTACAAGAAATAACTAGTCAACCCAAGAGGCAGTATCTTTTGCTTCATTCCTTGAAGGAGATCATTAGCTCTGCATCAGTGGTGGGCCTTAAACCATATGTTGAAAACATCTGGGCCTTATTACTAAAGCACTGTGAGTGTGCTGAAGAAGGAACCAGAAATGTTGTTGCTGAATGTCTAGGGAAACTCACTTTGATTGATCCAGAAACTCTCCTGCCACGACTTAAAGGTTACTTGATATCAGGTAGGTATCGTTTTCTGAGAATAAGTATATTTGTTTTTCTAATAGGAAAAAATTCATTTGATTGCCTTTTAAAGATTCCTCCTAAGAGATGTGATGAACTACTGCTTTGTCTTATGGATATGGAGCCATCTTCAAATGACATTTTGTTGTTAATGAGACTGTCACTAGATAATGATTTAAAAACATACTCTAGTTCCTAAGGTTATTCTGTTTTAATGTTAATTTGCCTTAAATTATGGAAAGTAGAAATATTTATTAAATTAAAAATTTGTTAGCACCAACTAAAATTAGTGAAAATGATAGCTCCTAGTGGAATTTTCTAAAATTCATCTGAATCTTTAATTGTTTTCTATAGATGAAATAGAATGTAATAGTGGCTATTTAATGTTGGAAACAGCTTTCTTTAGTGAAATTTCTGAAGATCATCTTGTTAGGTTTAGATACTGTGCTTCTACTCTTCGAGCTTCCCTTGATACCAGGGGAAGTGATTTATTTATTTGTTTTTTTAAAATACAGTGAAATCTCTTATAAGGTTGGTATACAATTCTTTAGTGTCTTGAGGGCAGTAGCCTTCTTGCCTGTAGAGAGTTGCCCTGCAAGCAAGAAAAGGGCTGTCTCAGGCAGTTCAGATCCTTCTGTAGTAACTTACAGCCTCCAGAAGACTGCTGTTGCGTCAGCAGTCATTAGTTGCCTCTGATTCACTAGAATAAATTTGAGTTTTCTTGACCATAGATAATTTTAAGGCATTGAGGGTAGTAGGTTTTTTTAGGGGGAGTTCTAGTGGCTTAGTGGTAAAGATTTGTGCTGCCAACACAAAAGTACTCAAGTCAAATCCACCAGCTGCTCTGAGAGAGAATGATGAGCAGTCTCCTATGTGATTTATCTCTGAAAATGTGTTGGAGAGTTAGTTATGACATGGATCTAACTTGAAGGTCCACAACAACAGTAACTACCGTATTACTTGAAGTTGCTTGAAAATGGTAAAGCTGTCTATAGATTTTTATGGAGTACATACCAATAGACTTTTTTGTTACCTTTAATTAGGCTCCTCGTATGCCCGAAGCTCAGTGGTTACAGCTGTAAAGTTCACTATTTCTGATCATCCACAACCTATTGATCCACTATTAAAGAACTGTATAGGTAAGTGGGAAAACAGATAAACTATAGATTATAAATAGATTTACTTGGTAATATTTTTTTGGAGAAAATAGTTATTATTCAGAAGCTCTTAATTTCAGTTACTAAAAAAATTACTAATTAAAATGCTCATTTATAAAGGTCGAGGAATAGTTTCATTAAAAACAGTTGTTAATTGTAAATTTACTGAATTATCTCCTTTTATTTTCTCCTTAGTTTGAAATTGTTGTCCATTATGGATGTTTTTAGTAGACTCTGAAAAATGAGCACTCTTCTCCTATGTGATTCACTGTCTCTGAAAACCCACCAGAGGGTCTGCTATGGGTCTGTTCTGAACCCAGGGTAGACAACAACAACATTTGAATTCCAGAACCCTGGTCAGAGCAGTCAACATTCAAAAAAGTGCAGTTAAAGCCCACCAGCCGATCCACATGAGAAACATGTAGTCACTGCTCATTGAGATTTACAGCCTTGGAAAGCTTATAGGGAAGTTCTACTCTGTCCTCTTTAGGGTTGCTTTGAGTCAGAATTGACACAAATACAGAAGATTCTTGTTCTGAGACTTGAATTATAGAATCTTCTAAAACCCTCAACCAGCTGTATTGACACAGTGACTGCAGCAGTGAGCTTGAGGGTATCAGAGATTGTAAGGATGGCATAGGATAGAACAAAGTTCAGATCTGTTCTTCATAGGGTCTCTGAGTCATATTCATCTCAGTGCCACCTAACAACAACGAGAAAAGAGTCTTTACTTATTCAATCCTTCACCTAGTTTGTCAGTGTTACACCTTTTCTAATTGTAGGTTTCTACTTCTCTGTTTGCTGATGGTTCTAATTTTTAGATGTCTATTTTCCTTTATGAAAGTGTAACTTCCTTCTAACTTTAATCCTATTCATCTGGCTCAGATAAATTGTTTTATTGTTTGTGTCACAGCTTTTCGAAGAGTTGCTGAAGAGAGAATGCTCTAAACTTTACCTTCACTCACTATTTTTTGGCTTAAGTATTCCATGTTTTCTCATCTAGTTCTTATTTGACATTGTTTTCAATGCCCTTTCTCTTTATTTTCATTCTGAATCCTACGAGAATGAGGCTTCTCAGCTTCATTCTTTGCATGAAGTGTACCAACACAAGTCCAATTTTAGTCTATTTCTGTGAAGACTTAGATGATCTTACAAGAAAATTATTCCTTTAGTCTCTGTATTCCTTAAAATTTTGACTTATATAAAATATTAACAAACATTCCCACATCCTGTACTTTATTTTTTAAAAATAAAGAAATGTGAGTCTTTGGGTGCACTATTCATTGCTGTTGAGTTGATTTTGATTATTAGGAACACTGTAGAACAGAGAGAGGTTCCTTATGATTTCCAAGTCTGTGTCTTTGTGGAAGTAGATTATCAGATTTTTCTCCCTTAGAGCAGCTGCTGAATTTGAGCCACCAATCTTATGTTTAGTCGTCCAATTATTAACCAGTGTGCCACCTGGTTACTTCTTGTTGTCCAGTACTATAGAGTCAATTCAGACTGTACACTAGAACAAAACATTGCCAGGTCCTTTGCCAGTCTCACAGTTATTGCTTTATTTGAGCCCAATATAGCCATTGTTTCAGTCCATATTGTTGAGATTATTCCTCTTAGTTGTTGGCCCTCTGCTGAGCATTTGATTCTTCCTGATAACATGTTCAGAATACTTAATTATGTTTATAGGAAATCTGTACTTACACAAAGAAGTAAGTATTTGTCTGAACAGAACAAGGGGCCACTGTATGGTTTAAAATTAGGAAAGGTGTGTGTCAGGACTGTATCCTCTCTCCTTACCAGTTCAGTTTGTATTCTGAGAAAATCATTAAAGAAGCTGAACTTTATGAAGAAGAGTGCGGCATCTGGTTTGGATGAAGGCTCATCAACAGCCTGTGTTATGCAGATGATACAGCCTTGTTTGCAGAATGTTAGTAGGACCTGACATACTTGCTGCAAAAGAGCAAAGACTATAGCCTTCAGTATAGATTGTATTTTAATTTCAAGAAAACAAAAATTCTTACCTCTGGTCCAGTAGGCAACATCATGATAGATGGAGAAAAGATTGACATTATCAGTGATTTCATCTTACTTGGATCTGTAGTCAGCACCCTTGACACCAGCAGTCTGGAGACATACAGTCTCCTGTCCAGGATCTCTCCAAAGTCTAAAGACTTAAGATGTTCCTCATTTAGGCCAGTCTTTCCAGTCACCTGCCATGCATCTGGCAGCTAGACAGTGAATAAGGATGATAGAAGAATCGATGCCTTTGAGTTGTGGTGCTGGAGAAGAGTGCTGAATATCCCATGGACTGCCAGCAGAACAAAGATGTGTGTTGGAGATGGTGCATCCAGAATGTTTCTTGGAGGCACAGTTCAAACTTTACCTCATATACTTTGTGTATGTGGTTAGGAGAGGCTAGCTGTTCCTTAGAGAAGGACATCATGCTTGGAAAAATAGAGGGGTCACTGAAAGAGAAGAAGATCCTTAGTAAGATGGATTGATGTAGTATCTGTAGCAGTGAACTCAAACGTGCAGGGATATTAAGGACGGCACAGGTTAGGACAGAGTTCATGTCTTTTGTTCATAGGGTCACTAAGAGTTGTACCTGACTGAGGGGCATGTAACAATAACATGACCAACATATGTAAGATGACATCTTTCTTTCCTTGATTGTAAGGAGTGTTGTAACTACTTCCAAGATAGATTTGCTTGTTCTTCTGGCAACCTGTGGTATACTTAGTACTCTTCACCAGCACCAAAATTCAAAGGCATCAACTCTTCTATAGTCTTCCTTCATTCAGTTTTCACACACGTACAAAAGTTAATTGAAAATACCATGATTTTGATCAGGAATGCCTTTGTCTTTAAAAAAAGATCTTTTGCAGCAGATTTTCCTAGTGCAGTATGTTGTTGAAGGATTTTGTTTTGGTTTTTGTTTCTGGAGGTTTTTTTTGACTGCTTCTTGCATGTACACCCAATTAAAATTAATTTCTTGTTTCCGTTAATTTGAAAATGGAAAGTAAGTATCCTAAAATAGCATCATTCGCTATATTAAGTTGCATTTCATTTTTAGTGAACTACACATGGCTAATATTTAGTGACTTAAGATAACTTTTGTGGAAAAGGCAAAAGTAAAATTGATCTTTGTAGGGAGCTTTGGGGGCTTGGTGGTGAAGAATTGCACTCTCAACCCAAAAAAAGCACGTGGTTAGAATCCACCAGCTGCTCTGTAGCAGAGGGATGGCCAATCTTCTCTACTGTGATTTACTGTCTCTGCAAACCCGCTGGAGGGCCTTGTATGGGCATTCATTGATTTATTGCCTCCAAAATCCCTCTTGAGGACCAGCTGTGACTCAGTTCTGACTCAGCAGTACATTACAATAAACTGATAGAATCAAATAATCATCTTGGTCCAAATAGACGTTTCCTCCTAGATGTAAATGAATGTCAGTTGAGTGATTTAGAGCTCCAGTTCTCTGTTATTACTTGTAACTCCCTAATTTCCTGAAGATATCCATAGAATCTTCAGTCTGTAAGATAATCCTGAGACTTAAACAGGATAAAGTTGATTAGCATCAATCCCTGGAAGTAAGATACCTCGAAAGACTAGGGCTATCTCTGTTTCTGAAGATTTACAGTTTCCTTTGCTTTTGTTTTCATCAATGGTTTCCCTAGACTTGAAAGTATCCCAGATCAAAGCGGTTTTGTGTCTCCTTGAGGATAGAATGGAAATACCAGCAGGGAGAATAGAGGTATATGGCAGATAAGATGTACATATTCATGCCATTCTGTAGTGGGTGAGGGAAAAAAGATGACAAATTAAAAGGTTGTATTAATGAATTATGTTTGGGTTTTTTTTTCTTTCCTCTCCCTTATCCCAAAACTAGATCAATAAGCAGCAGCATTATATAGGGGGAGAAAGGCTGGAATTGTCAGGGATTTCATTTTAGTTGCATACAAAGCCAATGCTTAGGGAATCAAATAATATATTGGATTAATTAAGTTTGCTATAAAAGTCCTCTTTATATTGTTAGACAAAAAGCATTGCTGTCACTTGGAAGACTCAGGTGTGCCTTTCCCAACCCATGGTATTTTTCTTTTTTACTTGCCAGTATCCATGTAAGCGCTGGATTTTGACTAAGAAAGGATAAAGGTGGATTGGTGCCTTGTTACACACACAGACACATTGTTTATCCATATATGTGTTGGACACTTGAGTTTTTTTCCTTTTTTTTTTTTTTTGGTATTGTAAATAATGCTTCATTGAATATGTTTTTGTGTTGCGGTACATATCTTGAGGAGTTAGTGGAGTTATTGGATCAAATGCTTTATGATTCCAGCTTTTTAAGAAAGCACTAAACTTTTCTGCAGTTTTTAAACCATTTTATGCTCCCACCAGCAGTGTATTGAGTGCTCACTCTTTCCACTTTTGCCAGCTTTTGTTTTCTGTCTTAACAGAACTTGCTTTTGTTCCTAGAGTGGTTGATTTAATAAAAAAAAAATTGAAAAAAATTATTTGAGTTTTTGCGAATGCCCAACATTGAGTTTATGACTTTACCCTGGACATATTCTACATATTTAAAAAAATTCTGTTGTGATGCACTTCAGCCTCTGGTGCCTTTCTTTTTTCCCTTTTTTCACCTGTATATTATAAAAATTTTGTGAAGAGTGTTGTGGTCATATAATGATGAATAATAGCTACTTGTGAATACTGCCCGTTGACTAGACATTGTGTTCAATAATATTAACTCTTTTAAGGAGCCTTAAAACCTGTACAAAATAAATACTCTTTTGCCTAAAGTAATTTGTCCTATTGGCTCCATAGTCAACAGTCTTGGCACCAGCAGCCAGGATATTAAAAGGCGCATTGCCATGGGAAAGACTGCTGTTAGGGACCTTTCCAAAGTGCTGAAGAGCAATGGTATCTCTTTGGAGACTAGGGTGCGTCTGATACAGGCCATGGTCTTCGCAGTCACTTGTTATGCATCAGAGTTAGACAATGACCAAGGAGGATAGAAGGAGAATTGATGCCTTTGAGCTGTGGTGCTGGAGAAGAGTATTGAGAATACCATGGACTGCTAGGAAAACAAACAGATTTGTCCTGGAAAGGGTTAAACTGGGTGGCTCCTTGGAGGCAAGGATTCTGAGGCTCCGTCTAACATACTTTGGACATGTTGTGAGGAGAGACTGGTCCTTGGAGAGGGACATCATGCTTGGGAGGGTGGAGGGACAGCGCAGGAGAGGAAGGCCCTCTATGAGGTGGATTGATTCAGTGACTGAGATAACTAGGATGGGAGTGTCAGAGACAGTGCGATTGGCACAGGACAGCGCGGAGTTTAGGACTGTTATACATAGGGTCGCTATGAGTCGCAGGCGACTCGACGGCACATAACAACAATTTGTCCTAAGTTACACAGTTAACCAAAGTAGCTTGATCTATCTGTGTGACTCCAAAGATCTTTGGACTATTCTATTTGTGTGATATTTGAAAGTACACATATAGTTAAGTATATTTTTAAGGGTAGTTTCTCATTTTCTGTCCTCTAAGTTTTATCTTTCTCCTTTCATATTCTGCCTATTATGTTGTTAGGTATCATTGAGTCAAGTATGACTCATAGAGACCCTATAAACAACTGAACCCAGCCCTGTCCTGCACCATCCTGCACTTCCTGACATACAAGAGCCTGTTGCAGCGATGCACCTGGTTGAGGGTCCTCTCCTTCACCAACCCTCTACCCTTCCCAACATCATGTCCTTCAGTGAATAGCACCTCCTACACTATGTTCGAAATATGTGAAGCAAAGCCTTATCATTCTTGCCTCCAAAGAACAACTCCGGCTGCTCCCTCTCTAAGACAGATCTATTCGTTTTCTTGTCCGTCCATGGAATGTTCAGCGCTCTTCTCCAACACAACAACTCAAAGGCATGAATTCTTTTTCTGCCATCCTTATTCATTGTTCAGATCTCAGATGCATAGCTAGTAATCAGAAAGACCATGGCCTGAATCAGATGCACCTTAGTCCTCAAACTGACATCACTACTCCTCAGTAATTTGGAAAGGTCCTTAACTGCAGATTTTCCCATTGAAGTGTCTCTCCTTACTTCCTGACTGCTTATACCAAGGATATTAATTGTGGATCCAAGCAAGATGAAGTGGTTGACAGTTTCAATCTCCTCTCTCCAGTCTGCCTATTATAAATTTATATATTTGCTAAAGATGGAATTAAAATATGACTGTTGGAGGCACATTTGTCTTTGTAATTTGATAAAGGATATACTTGTTAGTAGTATTCTGTTTTAATCTGCCATCATTTTAATTTATTTTGCACTTTTAATTTTTAATTTCTTCTGTTCTTTTCAAACAAATAAGTTTTAACTCTAAGGGAAAAGTTTCTGTTATTTATCTTTGTATTTACTGACTCTATCATGTCTTTGTGTGACCCATCTCTCTTTAAAGCATCTTAAATATTATTTCAGGACTTTGTAGATCCTTTACATTATACATGATGAAAGTGGATTACCCATTGAAAATCTACTCAGCTTCAGAAGTGATAGTTTTCTTACTGCGAAAAGATGTCTTGAGTTCATTAGGCTATCTTCAGGTCCACTACTTTCATTAAAGAAATAGTAATTCAGCAATAACCTACCAAATTAGGGAAAATATACGGTATATATGGTAAGATGATTATAATTGTTGCTTCTTTAATAATTTTTCAGGTGATTTCCTAAAAACATTGGAGGACCCAGATTTGAATGTAAGAAGAGTAGCGTTGGTCACATTCAATTCAGCAGCCCATAACAAGCCATCACTAATAAGGGATCTTTTAGATACAGTTCTTCCACACCTTTACAATGAAACAAAAGTTAGAAAGGAACTTATAAGAGAGGTAAGTGAATAAGACTGCACTGTTCATATAAATTTTAAGAAGTTGGAGAAAGTTTATTGTAAAATATATGAAACATGAAAATTGCCATTTAACCATTTTTAAGTGTGTGTGTATATATATATACACTTCAGAGACATAGTTAACACTCAGTTGTGCAAAAATCACCACTATTTAAAGAAAAAAAATTTTTATCACTTCAGGTAGAAGATTTGTTCCTAGTAAGCAAATGCTTTCCATTCTCTTTGCTTACTGGCTAATAATCTTTTATCTAATTTATGAATCCAATAATACAGTGTTTGTCTTTCTATCTAGCTTATTTTAATCCACATAATTAATGCTTTTCCCCCCAGGTTCATCCATGTTGTAACATTTATTAAAACTTCATTTCTTTTGACTAAATAAGCCATTTCATGTGTATTTTTGGTGGATACTTTTCTGTCTTTTGGTTGTTATGCAGTGAATATTACTTTACAAATATCTCTGTCCTTTTAATTTTGGGGGTAGATATGTTGGAGTGGATTTCTTGGTTATATGATAATTTTATTTTTATGTTCTAAAAACTTACATTTCCACCAGCAGTACTTGAAGGTTCCAGTTTATCTTAGACCTTACTAGGACTTACTTTTCTCTGTTTTTAATTGAAATTGGTAATTAGTGGCTGTGAAGTGTTGCCTTTTAAGTGTTAGCTTGTTTACTTTTCGATATATACACATGTTCTTTCTTGTTTTTAACAGGTAGAAATGGGTCCGTTTAAGCACACAGTTGATGATGGCCTAGATATTAGAAAGGCAGCTTTTGAGTGTATGTATACACTTCTAGACAGTTGTCTTGATAGACTAGATATCTTTGAATTTCTAAATCATGTTGAAGATGGCTTGAAGGACCATTATGATATTAAGGTAAGATGTTTTTACCTGTGTGTAGGATGTTTTTAAAAAAGATTTTTCTGTGGTGACTTTCACCTCTTACAGTTTGCTTATTTAAATTCATTACTTTTCATTTGGAACCCACTCATAGCAGACACTTCAGGTTTTCTGAGGCTGTAAATCACAGGGAAGGGGATTATCAACTTCACCCATCATCACTGCTGGTGGATTTGAACCACATAGTAGCACAACTCTCTCTATTAGAGTTCTTGCCTTACTCACATAAGTGAGAATAAGTGGGTTGTTTGTTGTAATTTTAGTAAACATATTATAAACTGATGTATAAATGTAATGGACCAGTTGCTGTCAAGTCTTTTGCAGTGCATTGCAACCCCATATTTTGTTCCATAAACATTTCCATTGTACATTACTATAATACCACCCAAACAGCTTATAAAGATATATAGCATAGCAGTTTGATATTTGGAAGAAATCAGATCTTAGTGTATGGAAAATAAATTATGCCAACTTGGTTAATGAATAGTTCTATAATCCAGATTTTTTTCCCCCGTTTATAAATTTATAACCTTTTTGGTGTGTATATATATATATATATACTCTATATATATGATACTGGATTATAATAAGGAACCATGGAGTTGTCAACATTATCTTGATAATTCTCTTAGAATATCTTTGGCTTAGTCTGATGAGTGATAACTTACATGCATATTATTTACCTGAAGGACTTCTGTTTTCTAATGTAGTATATTGATTTTAACATCAAGAATTTTCTTAAAGATCATGTAACGAGAGATGCAATGTGGGGGTGACAGAGTCTGACTTCTGCCTGCTTCGTAAAGAGGAGCTTTCCTATCAGTAATACCCATATACCAAACAAATGGGTACATGGTCAGACATGCTACCCCAGGTGCTTGTGCACTAATTTCTATGAATCATTGGGTCCACTGTTTGTTCCAGCTTTACTCAGAGATGTTGGGCTTATTAGGGAAATGAGTGACGGAGGCAAAGAATATCACATAATGCAAGTCCAGGTTTAGTCCAGCAGTCACAAAACTAGATTGGCAAGGCATAATTCCTCAATTAGTGAAAGCCCAAGTTCAGTTCAGTATCACAAATGCTGGCATCCTCTCATTTTCCTCCATCATCCAGCAAACTATATGTCAGAGCACTTAAAAGTCAACTTTTACTTAAATCATCCAGCAAGTGAAACCTTTAACTGTTGCTCCCGTCTGCAGGCTTCCCCTAGTTACACCTTGCCAGTGTCTTCACAGCAGTGCCAGCCACAGTCTTGTCACCTTCCCTCCATCACAGTCCTTCACAGTGGAAAGAACTTTCTTATATTGGTCCCACCACTGTTAATGATTTGCACGACAATGTGTTTGCAGTTAGGCAGCTGGAGACCATGGCTAATGTAATGAATAGAAAAGCCAATTTTTAAGGTTTCGGACACCATAGATGTTTTTACTGTGTTTACAAGCAAAACTGTCCCTTTTTAAAAATTTTTATTTTATTTATTTATTTATTTTTCAAAACTGTCTTTTGTAGAAGCAGCTAGCTTTAGAGCAAGAACTTTGCTTTAGCCATTTTATTTTCCTATTATCACTGGAAAGTGGTTTGAGAATTTAAGAAATAGATACATTGTATCTTTTGGCTGACCAGAGCAGGGGTTATAGTTGAAAATAGTTCAGAAAGGATTGAATTTGTCAGTGATTTCATCTTACTTGGACCAACAGTTAAGACCCTTGGCACTAACAGTCATGAACTCAGCAGATGTATTGCATTGGGCAAGTCCACTGTCAGGGAACTCTCAAAAAAACTTAACAGCATTGATGTGAGTTTCAAGATTAAGGTGTCTTCTCAGTCACCTGCTATGAATTAGAGAGCTGGACAATGAATGAACAGGTGTGACAAGTGGAATTGAAGCCCTTGAGTGGTGCTGGTAAAGAGTACTACTGAATAGCCATGGACTATCAAAAGAGCAAACAGTTCAGAAGCCCTCATGGTATAGTCCTTGGAGAGCTGCATTACTAACCTGACGGAGGATTACTACAAATTGGGACCAAGTCAGCAGCAGTGAAAGTTCCAAGTTCTGTACTCAAGGACCACATTATAGGCGATAGTTGCAGTAAAGTGAAGCTCTAGGGTGCACAACAATCGTTTTCTTTTCTAAAAGGATTGTCATGATTTGGATTTTGTCTTCAGAAAGTAATGCGAAGTCTTTTTTCTCCTCTCCCCCTTTCCAATAGATGTTAACATTTTTAATGTTGGTAAGGCTCTCTACTCTTTGTCCAAGTGCAGTATTGCAGAGGTTGGATCGACTTGTTGAGCCATTACGTGCCACATGTACAACTAAGGTAATAATTGCTAGAATTAGGTCATACTGGTATATTCAAGATTCAAAAATTTACATATCAACAACCAACAACAAAATGTAGTTCTACTAACTTAATCATACTAGTACCTTTATAGTAACTAGTTTTTAAAAGTTATATTGAATATGAATGTTTTCAAGAATTCAGCATTGTTTTAGAAAAATTAGCACTATTTAAAAAAATTTAAAACAGCATTTATTACTGTAACAGTATGACATCTCTTAAAGTCAGTAAGTGTGATAAAGAGTTAAAAAAGAGGAAGTGTGTAATTTTAGGTTTTGGTGGTAGAATCAAAATTTTGTATGAGAATATCATTTGACATAGTGTGGGGAAAGTGAACATTTTTTAAGATTGAGAGCAAGTAAGCAGAGCTTTTCATAACAAGAATATTGCACACATAATGGCACAGGAATGCCATTATTGATTTATTTGAAGAATATAGAGCAATTAGAGAAGGGAGAAACAATATATATTTGGGTCATACACTTTGTTAACTGTAATGGCCATAAGTTTCTATTGTTTTTATAATGGTTTTGTATAAAATACTCTTTTGATAGCTACTTTTTTCTCTAAAAATAAAGATTTTTTTAAAAAGCTGCACTTAAAATGTGCATTTTGGACTCACAATAGAGAAATTACTTATTTTACTAATATTCACAATTATTTGTGGCCTTACATTTTATTCATATAAGCATTATCTTAACATGTGTATTTACTCATTGTTCCAGGTAAAGGCAAACTCAGTAAAGCAGGAGTTTGAAAAGCAAGATGAACTAAAACGATCTGCCATGAGAGCAGTAGCAGCACTGCTAACCATTCCAGAAGCAGAGAAGAGTCCACTGATGAGTGAATTCCAGTCACAAATCAGTTCTAACCCTGAACTGGCGGCTATCTTTGAAAGTATCCAGAAAGATTCATCATCCACTAATTTGGAATCAATGGACACTAGTTAAATGTTTATTGAACATGGGGACCATTACATTGACCATATGATGCACTGAATTGACAGGTTAATCATAAGTCATGGAAAAAAGAAGTGTCTAAAGGCTTCAGATGTTCCACTTTACCCCCTTGCCCCTCGTGGAGGCACAGTTTGGCTTTGTTCCATTGTTGCTTTTGTAGCATTTATTCAAAAATATGTATTTCCATAATCCAGAGCTTGTAAAACCACTAATGTTTTAGTGGTTAGGACATTTAAAATGGAAACTAAAATTTAAGATTTATGGAATATGGAGATAGGGTCCAGCATCTATCTATTTACCCTGTAATGTTTAGGATTAAAATGTTAAAATTTTGTGACCATGAATATCTTTCTTTTATATTTTTTTAATTTAAAAATCAAACACAAATTCCACAAGACAAGAAAACACGTTCCTTTGTTCTTCTGTAACTTTCCGTTTCAGCAGCATATATTGATTTTTAGCTGGCAGAGAAGAATATCCATATATATATGATTTACTATATTTCAGAGGGTTTGGTAATTCAATTTTTAAAAAGGTAATAAGGTATCAGTTTTTTAAGTATGGGGATTAACAATATTCCTGTTGCGCACACTAATTTTGCATGAACAAGTTTTAAATATATATTGTCTGTAAAGCATGTGCAAATTATTCATAATACAAAGTTTAAAAGTATTAATGCAATTTTCAGATATTTATTTTTGCACAGAAAACACCTATTTGGAGAGAGAAGGAAGATTACAATTTTGAAATTTTGCTTTTCTTAATGCCAGTGTGAATTTTCAGATATTTTCAGCAAATCAAGTCATAATAATAGTTTGCCGCATTTTTCTATTATAAATTTTCTTACACATTTAAGATGTGGATACTTAAGTACTCAGTTTTCCTTGGTTACCCATTTGTAATGTTTTTCGCCTAGAAATTCTTAAGGCCAGACATTTCTTTCATTCTTTAGATACTCCTTATCTGAGGTTACAAGTACTTTATGTGCTTTTAAATTTCAATTTTACTAAGTCTCTGAAGCCAGCTATTACAGATTTGTAAACTGACAATTGATGTTTGTTTTGATTTAGATTTCACCTACCTGCCTTGTAAAAGCTAATTTACATACTCTATTTGGTAAGTGTTGACTGCTTTCCTGATTAGGTATCTGTGCTGAAGGCAGTCAGAGCTTTGCAGTACCATATATTGTAGTTAGTATTTTAACATATCTTTGAGTTAGGTCATTTTACAGTGTAGCCTCTTCCTTCAAATCTGTGGTGCTCCTGTAATAGTAAAAACCAACTTCTGAAAATAAAAGACATCTCCTAATCTCTTAATGCTGTGCAAACATAGTTTACGTGAAGGCAAGTGTTAAATTGCGTGAAATTGGACACTCAAATCACATTTGAAAACTGCACCCTTCTTTTTGAAACTGTGAATTAGAAATACTTTTTCTGCTGTATTACCTGCTTTACCATCTGAATAGACAGTGATTTTAAAGGTAGCATAAAATGGTTAGATGAACAATTTGTTGATTTGAATGTTCAAATGATAATGCATAAGACATTGCTACCAATCAGGCTTTTAACTAGTAGTACATTGACCTTACCTGAATCTAGTACCATTTTCAAAATGTGGCAGGTGATAATACATAAAAGTGTAATGGAAATTTATTTTGAGATACTAGTATATTATGTATTCTGCATATAACATGGTATAGATGTTGTGGATATATTTACGTATTTGGCTATATAGTTTTACAATAAATTACAATACTTCAGGCTCCAGGACCAAATAGATTGACATGCATATACTGTGTGAATTTCTTAGTTAATTGCTCTACATTAAATCCAAATATTGGTTTTATATTTAGTTTTCTTTCTAACATCTAGATACTTCTACCTGCTCAAGTCTTACAGAGTAGCTCATTTTTCTAGTATGTTTGAAATTTTATTTTTTAATACAAAAGTAGCCTAGAGTAGTAAATTTAGTTTGTGAGTGTGTGTGTAATATATATGCATATGTATTTGTGTGTATATATTATACATATATATAATACATATATATATATATCACCAAATCATCAGAAAGAAATGCTCACATTTAAATGTTAAGTCTTTCCTATTAATTTTTTTATTTCTAGTGATGCTGTGGTCCACATACTGGGATAGAAGTGACACAGTGTGGAGGTCCAGCCATATTCTGGTTTTGGTGCTTTATAGATAGAATTAAGATGTTCTAGTTAGTGGTTTTTACACATTTAGGTTTCTGTGGAGATCCCAAATGAATACTTGGAAAATTAACTGCTGTTTTTCATAAAGACAGGTAGAGAATTGAGTTTTGAGGCACATTTTTTAAAGCAAAAATGAAATTTGTTTGGCAGTACCTAACATAAAAAGTTATACTTAGGAGAAATATCAGTGGTACTGAATGATAATTTTTAAAATTATATTCATGGTTTGGTGGGTTTCCCCCCGCCTTCATAACATAGAAAACTTTTGTCATTTGGGAATTAGAATTTGTAAAAGGTTGGAATATGACAACTTCATCAAATGTTTGAATGTTTACAATTTTTATATAACCATAATTACACATCATTTTTTTTCCTTCTCTACTTTCTGCTGAGCAAATAGTGATGAAAGAACATAAGGGCATATGAAATCAACCAATTTTTTAATACATTTTGTTGGCCTATTTTACGTTATCTGGCCTGTTTTGCAGCAGTATTTGAATATGATTATCTAGTCATTAAAGTTTTAAAAGATGAAAAAGGCGAAGTCTTTTTAGCCACTGAAAAATTAACGTAACTAAAGAAATTACTTAAGCCCTCTGTGTAGTATTTGGCCCTATTAAGCAATATATAACATTGGAAAAATTATTATATTTCTTCCCACTTTAAATTTTACTAAGTATGTAAATTGTTAAAATAAATTGGCCAGTCTACAGATGTCATGCTTAGTAAATGTTTTTATATTTATTAAAGTGCTTAAAAATTTCAACAACTTGGCAGTTAGCTGTATTTTAAATGGAATTATTATTTTTAAAAAAAAATACTGCTAGTCTAGATTTCATACCTCTTGTAAAAGTTTTGTTTAATCTCATGGGGTGAAACAGTGACAGTACTATAGCAGTCTATTTACTGCTTGGAGAATAGAATATTCTGATATCCCCCCTCCCAGTTAAAGGAAGCTTCTTTCATTTCTCTGGTTAAAAATCTAGAACATTATGAAATACTTGACAGACAGCCAGAAGCTTACCTGATAAGTTTTCTTAAAATGCAATATGAATATATTCTCTTTTCAAAATAGTTGCTTGGTTTTTTATTAATTCTAGAAAAACAAGATTTTTGTGAATACCTTTATTGTGCTTTTTTAGGAACACATTTTTGCTCTAAATTAGAAAGTTTAAATCCAAAATGCAGCTTCTTTTCATCTTATAAAATGAAAGCTAACTTTAATTGTTGGGTGCCATTGAGTTAACTGACTTATGCATGACCTTGTGAATACTAGATTGCAGTCTTGGCCTATGATGCACCATCATAGGTCTCCACCACGCTCAAGCCCATTACTACAGTCACTTAATCCATCTGTTTGTCCACGCTCAGTGCCTTTTTCTGAAGACTGACAACATCCCCAAAGTATGTGAAACAAAGCTCCACCTTCCTTTTTCTAAAGAGCACCCTGAGTTGTACTTCTTCCAAGACTGATTTATTTCTTATCTTTGCTCTCTGGTATATTCCGTATCTTTCAGCAAAACAATTTAAATGCATCAGTTCTTTAGTCATCTTCATAGTCTTAACTTCCAGATACATAGGAGGAAATAATTGAAAAATATTGTGACTGAGAGCAGCTGCATCTTGAGTAGCATTATTCTTTAGCACTTTAAAAAAGTTCTTCACAGCACATTGCCCCATGTAACAGTCTTGATTTCTCGATTGCTGTTACCATGGGTGTAGATGGCGATCCCATAATTAAAATTTTAAGAGAGAAATGCATATCGTACCTTTACTGGTACCCTGTACGTTCATGTTTGTCAGGCTTCAGAAGTGATTTTTAGTAGGTGGATTGTGGATATCTACTCTTGGATTTCTATTTCTATCCTCCTTGTTAAGTGTCATCAAGTCGAGTATGACTGCTAGCAACCCTATGAACAAAAGATCGAACCGTTTGATCCTGCGCCATCCTCGTGTTTCCTGACACAAGAGCAAATTGCAGCAGCCACTGTCAGTCCACCTGGTTGAGGATCTTCTCCTTTGTTAGCTCGCCACCCTTTCCAGCATCATATCCTCCAAGGAATACCCCTCCTGGCAACATCTCTTGGCAGCATGCTTCATTCTTGCTTGAATCCACAATTAAGACCCTGGTACCATCAGGAGATTGGGAGATGCATCACACCAGGAAAATTTATAGTTGGGGACCTCTCTAAATCATTAAGTAATGATGTCAGTTTGAGGATGAAGGTGTGTGATTGAGGCCATGGTACCTGCTATGGATCTGAGAGCTGGACAGTAAATAAGGATGACAGAAAAGACCTCTTGGAGCTGTGGTGTCAGAAGAGCACTGAACATCCATGGACGGCTACTAACAGGTATGTCTTAAGGTGCATCTGCAGTGTTCTTTGGAGGCAAAAGTGATGAGGCTTTGCTTCACATACTTCGAACGTGTTGCTAGTAGGGGCTATTCCTTTGAGAAGGACATGATGCTAGGAAGGGTGGAGGGTTGTTGAAGGAGAGGAAGACCCTCAACCAGGTGGATTGACAGCGTAACTACTGCGATGCGCTTTTGAGTGTCAAGAAGTGTGATGATAGAAGATAGGATAGTGTTCAGATCTTTTGTTCATAGGGACACTATGAGTCATACTCAACTAGATGGCACTTAAGCCATATGCCAAAGTATGTGTGGCAAAGCCGCATTGTTCTTGCCCCCAAAGAGCACTCGGGCTGCAGCCTTCCCAAGACATACTTGTTCTCTTGGTCTCAGGATTCTCATTACCTTCAAGTCAAAACCAACTCATAACTGACATGACTGGATTTTTGGAGGCTATAAATTGCACAGAAAGATTACACATCTTTCTCCCTAGTAGCCACTGGCACATTCAGAGTACAGAGGGATCTCCTTTGGGTTTGCAGCACTCCCTATATATTAGGCTACCAGAGCACTCCCCTTCCCCTGGTCTTGTTAGGTGCCATCAATCTGGTTAAAATTCATAGCAACCCTGTGAACAACAGATCTGAACCCTGTCCTATCCTGTGCTGCCATCACTGATGTACATGAGCCCATTGCTGCAGTCACTGAAAATCTGTTGAACTTTTCACTGGCCCTTCATCTTTCAGGGAATGGTTGCTCCCAATATATCCAAAGTACATGAGATGAAGCTTTACCATTCTTGCTTCTACAGAACACTGGTCGCTCTTCCTCCAAGATGTATTTGTCTTTTCTTGGTAATCCTTGGGGCATCCAGTACTCTTCTCCAACACCATAACTCAACAGGTATCAATTTTTGCTGTCATCCTTACTCATTATCCAGCTCTCAGGGTTTGGAAAGCTTAAAAACTAGGTAGTGATATAATTGAGTTTATGCTTTCCAAGAGTGGAGGGCTTGCATCATTTTGGATGATGAATTAGAACATTTGGGTAGTGCTATTAAGAACGAATCATAAACAGCCAATTTGGTTTTGGAGTGAAAAAACATGGGGCGGGGGGAGAGGGGGAGAGAAGATAAAATTGGCTAGACAAAAACTGATTAGGCATGTTCAGTTATGCTGCAGTTCCTAGAATTGGTAGCATATTGTTACTTTGAGTTGAAACTGATAACTGATTCTCCAAGCAGATTTAGAGTCTGTAAGTAATATGGAAGGGAATTGCCCATGCCCCCTCAAGGTAGCTAGTGGCTTTGATGATGGCAATGGTGATGGTGAGTGTGGTGCAGAATGGGAAGGGTTTTGATCTGTAGAAAGGTTGATTCAATGGAGTGGCTTGGTAACACTAAATGACATGTCCGTTGTAGGTAGCATAGGAGGTCTGTTTCTTAACTCCAGAGCCGGTGTGATGAAGCCACCATTTACAGTGTTAACTAGTTGCTGTGGCAAAATAGTCACATCTAGCTCCTGCTGCTTTTTTTGCTTGATGTCATGTTATGTGCTGTAGAGTAGCTTGCAACTTAGCAACCTTACCCACAGTAGCTCAGAACCTGTTCTTATCGTGAACCAAGCTCACTGTCATAAACACTTGTACTATTTTGTTGGCCAACGGTTTGTGATCATGCCTAAGAAGTGGACACATTCAGGAGGCATTAACCAGATAGTATTCTTGAAGTGAGCTGTGGAGTGATTGTTTTTAATTTGGGATGGAGGATGATGGGGGTGGAAGAGTTACATCATCTTATACGCTACCATGAACAACTCAAAATTTGAGGTTTGTATTTTCACAAATTCTTTAGCAGTCAGCCTGCTTGCTGTTCCTTGCAAAGCAACCAGTTTTGTTCTTTTTTTTTTAAAGCTATGACACCTAGGTAATTTAAGTATTTTTTTTAAAAAACAGTTCACAGGATTTAAGAAAATTTTAATGTCAACTATTTAAATGTTTTCAAACATGTAATTATGTAGATACTATAATTCAACATTCTGTCCCCATGAATTCTCACCTTTAACTTCAACTCTACCATTTCAAGCAACCTCTCCAATGACTGTCACTTGGTATTTTTAGCCAGAACTGAAACTGATAACCTAATGAAGCCACAACCTGTTTTTCAGCTTCCTTCAGAGTCACAATTTTCCCTCAACCT